GACACATATGTATGCAAAATGTACACTTATAGCCATCCTCCTGTTTCTTACCTTTTGGGCGCAGTCGGTCCAGTCACCTGGCGGAGGATGTTGGGAGACAGATGATCTTCCAGTTTGCCCCTACCTCCTCTCTCTCTCTCCCATGCTCAGTGTTCTCTGAGAGGCCGTGACCGGCTATCCCTGCCTCCCATGCTGCCGATATCATACGTGCCCGGACAGGCTCTTAAAGGGCCTGACCGGGTCCCTGAAAATACTTTTGCCATTGGGTGGCCCTAAGTTCATCCAGCCGCACCGGCGGTAGTTCTGCCACTGGTCACAGCTAGAGTCATGTATTCAACTCACATGGGGACAAAGCTACTGTAGACTCTTTCTTGGTCTGCGATGCAACCAGTGCACCTTATCAGCAGTGGACCTAATCAGCATAACTGTATACTTTTAGTTTTAAGTCTTGATTAAACTTCTTGTAGCATAACTAATATTCAGTAATAAATTTAAATATTCAGTAATAAATTTAAATATCTCATCACATGTTTAGTTGTGACAAAACATTGTTTTGTTGATTCACAGTTTGTCATACCAAACTTATCGTGAATCTTTGTAAATTTGTATTTCTTTTTGTTTACTAAAATGCAATGCCTAGGAAATCTTTTATTTTTCCAAAGTCTTTCATTTTGAATTTGTTTGTAAGCATTACTTTTACATCCTTGAGTTTTGTTTCAATAGGAGCACCTTTTCATTTTCATATTGGTTGGGGTACACGCAGTGGTCTTTAGGATTCTGTTTAAACTTAATTTCACTTAAATAGTCACATAGTACTTTGTTCCAAATTCTACCTGACTGTTTCAAACTGTGTAATGACTTGTTCAACTTGAGAACTTGTTTTTTATTCTGTTTTGGACTTGACTTCAACCTTCTGGTTGTTCCATATTTAATTCACATTTAACTAAACCATGTAAATGCTCAAAGGTTTGCATATCCTAAATGAAATTGTGAAATTTTCGCAGTGATTTTGAAAATATGACTGATGCAAAAAAATTATTTTATTGAAGGATAATGGTCATATGAAGCCATTTATTATCACATAATTGTTTAAATCCTTTTTAAATCGTAATAACAGAAATCACCCAAATTAATCCGATCGAAAGTTTACATACCCATGAATGTTTGGCCTTGTTACAGACACACAAGGCGACACATACAGATTAAAATGGCAATTTCCCACACCCCTGTCTTTTTAAATTGCAATTAGTGTCTGTGTATAAATAGCCAATGAGTTTGTTAGCTCTTACGTGGATGCACTGAGCAGGCTAGATACTGAGTCATGGGGAGCAGAAAAGAACTGTCATAAGACCTGCGTAACAAGACAATGGAACTTTATAAAGATGGAAAAGGATATAAAAAGATATCCAAAGCCTTGAAAATTCTAGTCACTACTGTTCAATCACTTATTAAGAAGTGGAAAATTTGGGGATCTCTTGATACCAAGCCAATGTCAGGTAGACCAAGAAAGATTTCAGCCACAACTGCCAGAACAATTGTTCAGGATACAAAGAAAAACCCACAGGTAACATCAGGAGAAATACAGACTGCTCTGGAAAAAGATGGCGTGGTTGTTTCAAGAAGAACAATACAACGACACAAACAAAAAGGAGCTGCATGGTCAAGTTGCCAGAGAGAAGCCTTTACTGTTCCAATGCCACAAAAAAGCCCGGTTACATTATGCCCGACAACACCTTGACACACTTTTACAGCTTCTTGCACACTGTAATTTGGAGTGATGAGACCAAAATAGAGCTTTGTTGGCAAAACCATAAGCGCTATGTTTGGAGAGGGGTCAACACTGCTTATAGTGAAAAGAATACCATGCCCACTGTGAAGCATGGTGGTGGCTCACTGATGTTTTGTGGGTGTGTGAGGCACAGGAAATCTTGTGAAAATTGATGGCAAGATGATCAGCATGTTATCAGAAAATACTGGCAGACAATTTGCATTCTTCTGCACGAAGGCTGCACACGGGACGCTCTTGGACTTTTCAGCATGACAATGACCCTAAGCACAAGATGAACATCCAGTGCTTACAGGAGAAAAAGGTGAAGGTTTTGAAGTGGCCATCACAGTCTCCTGACCTAAATATCATCGAGATGGGGAGATCTCAAACTTGCTGTTCATGCAAGACAACCAAAGACTTTACAAGACCTGGAGGCATTTTGCCTAAACGAATGGACAGCTATACCACCTGCAAGAATCAGGGGCCTCAAAGACAACTATTACAACTGCACACTGTCATTGATGCCAAAGGGGGCAATGCACAGTATTAAGAACTAAAGGATGCAGGCTTTTGAACAGGGTTCATTTCATTTTTTTCCTTGATGCCATGTTTTGTTTTATGATTACCTTATAGCAAAGTGTTCAAGATTGTGTGAGTTGAGTTTATGTCATCTTTAAAGATTAATGGTACATTGAACACCCTGTATTCTCATGCCGGCTGTTTGTTTTTTCTTTCCATAAGGTAAAAGGGTAAACCAGAAGTGGACCCCTTACTCACTGTGCCTAGAAAGTTATAAGCTATGGCTCACTGATGAGGCCTAACAATGCTATTTCAATTCTTTGGTGTTGCTCTATTTTGCGAGTAGAGGGAGAAAACCTGCATTTTGGATTTGTTTTTCCCTTGTGGGTGGGATCAATCTGATAAGCAAAAGGTTTATGTTCTGTCTGTAATTGCACAATATGAGCTAAAATCAGTTTTGAAAACTGAGTGGGGTCCCAGTGAAGGGCAAGCTATTTGAGCAGTTGCCTAGTTCTCAGCATTCGCTTGCACCCTGTTTTTTGCTCACCCAGTAATCAGTTGTTTGTTAATACATGGCCATTACTTTTGAAATCATAGTCTTTGATGTGCCATGATCATTCTTTCTTGGACCATTCTACTCACTCTATGAGGTTTAGATACAATCTAAACTTCACTTCAGCATTATTATTTTGGGCACATATACAATATGTACATAACTCTCTCTGTGTAATCATTTTCATCATGTAACAGATCAATTTGAGCTTGCATTTCAACAGCTTTCTTTGTAATAAATGTCACAAGCATGTGTTTGAGAACTTTTCTGGTGTCAGGATAATACACTAGATAAGAAGGACTGTTCTTGTCATATCCAACAGTGATTCCTCTATCACGCTGTGGGTTTGATTTCTGCCTATTACACCTATATATCTATATCTGACCCCAAAATCTTCATTTTAGAAAGGTTATGCCTTTTGTATGGTAACAGATAATATGGAGTTTCTTGTAAAAGCACCTGTTTAGAATCTAAGCCACAGTCATTGCTGTGCATGTCCATAATTCCTCTGACAATTCACTTTTGAACAACTGACATCTTTCAATATTAAATTTTCCATATCTCCAGTTTCTGTCAGCAGTACCATTTTGATGTGGTGGGTAAGGTGCTGAGATTTCAAGTCTAATACTTTGATTGTTTAGTGGTGACCTTAAACTCTCAGCCGTGAACGAAATAACTGTTACATATTTTAGATTTCCATATGGGGCTGTGTCAGCAATAAAACACTGCATTACATTTGCTCTCATCAGGCTCTCTGCTTCTAGTTTGAACACATTTTTCTTGAGTGCAAATTTCACAGTTTAGATTAGATTTATCAATGTTGCCCTTAATCTTCATTACTTCTACAACACTCTGTAACTTTGAAATGTCATCATAATTACAGTGACCTAGAATTTCATGCCAAGTTTGAACATCGCAACAGGCATGGCAGCTGTCTTCATTCTTAGCAAAAGTATTAACTAGTAAAGTCTGTTTTATTCCTGAATTATGAACTTGGGGCAATTTTCGCAAAGGAGTTCACTTCTGCCTTGTCTAAAGTTAACTAAGGATGATGTGTATTGCTGCCTCTAAGGAAAAAAATTCTTGAGTGTATGAAGGTATATAAAATGCTTTCTTTAGAGTTGCTAGCACTCAATTTCCCTTACTGTCAAGTAGGGAAATCTCTGCATCATGTCTTTTCAGTGTCACACCTGCTGCCCTTTACCCATTTGCATGCTTCATAATTTTTTTCTGACGTAAAGGTGTTATTAAAGCTTTTGTATTTTTCAGTGTAAGTAATTATGTGGGATGTTTCCCCTTTGTCAACCACAAGCCCATCAAGTTGGAAATCTCTTATTTAGAAAATGTGTCTGTTATCATACTTATCTGTAGCTTGTTTAACATTATCTCTTTTCTTGAGCCTACAATCTGCGTCTCCGTGTGTTACACCTCTATGCCTGGCTGCCATTTTGGTTAGTAGAGCAGACTATGGCCCTTTGCCCTTTTTTGTTGCAATTGTAACAAGTAATATTAGACTAATCTCTTATTCTAGAAGTCACATTGTTAACTTTTAGCACTTATTTTAATTAGCACAGTAATTTTCAGCATCTTCAAAACGTAATTGTGTCTTAAACTATACAAAGGGTACTTCTCCCATGATCTTTCATAATATTAACAGCAAATGGCTTAAACAATTCAAGGAAAATTTCACAATCATTGCTCTTCATTGCCCAAATGCAAATAAATAAAAAACAATTTTTAGTAGATATGCCCCCAACAAGACCATTCTGAACTCAATTATGCATTTTCCATTGGTGGTTGTAGCAGAGCTCCCTGTACCCCAGCTGGAAACCTGCACCAAGGATCACTTCATAGCTGGATCCAGGGAAAACCTCAGTGCTTCAGTCCCAGTCGCCGTGGCTTGACTGGGGTCCTCCTGGAGCCACTCCATCCTGGAATAGCTCTATTCCCTCCCAGGAACTAGCCGACACACAGTCCTGTAAGCTGTAGTCCTTACAAGGACTTTCCCCGCTGATTCCTCCACAAGCTGGAACAAGGTGCTGAGCAGTGATTTTGTCCCTCTGGGAGGCATAACCACCTAGCAAAGCTAGCATTTTAGCCTATCAGGTGATCAGGACAGCCTTGTAGCTCGCGGCAGCCCTGATCACCTCAGATTTTAAAATGGCAACGTTGATGGAGGACTCCATTTCTGTGTCTGCCACAGATATGGTTGATGTCTCTCCTAGAGAAAGCCCCATTAACGTTAGAAGGCTCCATAAGAGAGCCTTCCTTGCCAGAGACATATCCTCTTCATCTTCTGAGGAGGATATAGTCCCAGTTAGCAAAAGAAAAAAGAAGGCTTGCCTTTCCTCTTCAAGTTCCGAGGATGAACTTGATTTTGGTCCCTCTTCCCCTCATTCTCGTTTGAGTAGTCGACATTTTAAAGGGACAGTACGTCCGAAAGTTTTTTTTAAATGTAATGTATGTGCAGCATGTAAGAAAACGCAAAAAAATGACAAATTCATCCCAAATTTTAAATCAATGAATATGAACAAATATTTTAGCATATATGATGTAATAATGTGTAACAGTACCAATGTAATATATTTGTTAGAGTGTCCTTGCGGACTTCAATATGTTGGCAGGACAATTAGACCACTAAAAGTGAGAATAAGCGAACATTGCCGAAATATAGAAAAAGGACTCATGAGCCACAATATTGAATTCGATCTAATACATTTTTTACAATATTCTTTTTATAATACACTCTTTAAAGTTATGCACAATATCTTCACAAATCAATCATAAAATGTTTGGATTGTAAAATTGTACTATCATCTGGAACAATATAGAATTTTGATTTTATTAAAATATGTTTTTTTTATAATTCATTTGTGTATATAATTTTTCCCCTTTTTTAACCAAATTTCCTTTGACTGGTTACTTTATACATATATTATCTTAAAACTTTGGAAATCTATTGTATACATCCAGACTAGTCTAAGATGTCTATTAGTACTATTTACAAGAGATCACTGTGTAAATACATGTGATATATAGCAATCCCTATTCAGCATTTAGAACTTTTATAATCTCTATAATTACATATGCAGAAAATATGCAAGATTACACTTTGATTTGTTTGTTTTAATTTACTTTCATATTAACCCCTCTTTTTCTTACTGGACATTTAGCCATTATCTAAAATGGCATTACCATCACTTCCTGTATACACCATTATGAAGATACCCACCAAACCGGAAGTGATGTAATGATTGACCCGAAACCAGAAGTACAGACTTGGTTTACTGGACTTTTGCCCTTATCCAAAATGGCGCTACTATCACTTAGTTTACTGGACTTTTGCCCTTATCCAAAGGCGCTACTATCACTTCATGGACATATCATCATAGAGATATCCACCAAACCGGAAGTGATGTAACAAATGACCTGCAACCAGAATTATAGACTATACACACCAGAACTGAATAGAGAAATTAAGAGACAATTTAAACATCAACTGACGTGAACAGCAGACATTCACTTTTGAGAAAGCTGTAAGCGAAACATTTCAAGTGGAGATTAAGGATTGCCTACAAGGACTGGTTTTATTTATAGTTCTTTTTACTATATAGTTCACTTTTAAATAGTTTTATTCATTCTGTTTATTAATAAAGATTCTGTTTTAATAGTCAGTCACTCTTGAGCTCCTTATACTCTCACCATCACTCTGCTGTTCCGGATCTACATAATTCCCTAGGTGGGGATTGTTCCACCTAAAGCTCCATACACTAGAGCAGGTCATTGCTCTAGCAAATGTAAGTAGGTCAAATATTATTTACTTATCCTACTTTTACATATGTACTGTACCATTGGTATACATCCTTATTTTTTTTCATATGATGAACTGCACTACCTTGGGAATCTGATACCAGCAAAAAGAAATCCTAAGGCGGGGATTTTTCCATCCAGGCTCCTAAAATAGAGCTTTTTAAGCTCTGGAAAATGTGAGTGCCCCTTTGGAATACATCTTTATCACCATATTATTCATAACATACTGCACTATCATTGTACTTTTATTTCCTTTTTTTTAAGCGTAAGACACATAACTGCGAAATCTGCTGCTATCTGTGTATGTATGATTTTATTATAATAATTCTTAGCTCTGTCCACCTAATTTACTAGCTTGTTTTAAAGACTATTATGAGGCTGATAGCATTAACACCGAGTTACGATGCTTCCCCCTTGCTATGCAGACAAAGTCAGCTGTTTCTAGGAAACCAACTGAGACGGGGTGGCCAGTGGGGGTCAAGGGTGATCCTTCCCATGAGCATCAGAAAAGAGCTAAACAAGATTTTGGAAGGGGCAAGTCCACTTCCTCGCCCCCTTCTGGAAGGGCCTTTCGAGTTAACCTTGACCATAGATGCTTCTACAAAGGAATGGGGTGCTTTCTCTGCCCAAGGCGCAATAAGAGGAGTTTGGTCACTTCAAGAAGGACTTCTCCACTTAAACTTACTAGAGTTGAGAGCAATCAAATTAGCCCTCCAAGACCTTGTTCCGTTGAACCCCCTAGGTGTGTCGGTAATGGTTCAATCAGACAACAGGACAGCGGTAGCTTGTGTCAACCACAGAGGGGGCACGAGGTCAAAAGGTCTTTGCCTAGAGGCCTTGGACCTGTGGTCCTGGGCTCTGGTTCACAAGGTTCAAATTTTGGCAGTTCATGTACCAGGAGAGGCAAACGAACTGGCAGATTCCCTGTCCCGCCAGTGTTTGTCCCTTGCTACAGTCCAGTTAAAAGAGTGCTTTATTTCAGCTATAGAGAGCAGACTGGGCAAGAGACAGATAGATCTTTTTGCATCTCAGACCTCGGCTCAGACTCCCAAATTTGTAACCAGGACTTGGGCAAAAGGAGCTTGGAAGATGGATGCGATGTCCTTCCAGTGGACAGACATTCCGGGCCTTTATGCTTTTCCCCCTCCATCTATTCTGATGAAGGTGTTAGAGAAACTTTGCAGAGACAGGGTGACCAATCTGGGTTTAGTGTACCCCATTTAGACCTCCAGACCATGGTATCCCCTGATCCAACCTCTAATCAGGGGACCAAGGGTTCCATTAGGCTGGACAGCAGATTGCTTCCTAGGGACTCTTAACCAAGCTCCCCCAACTTATGTGGATGGCAGCCCTGGTAGGCTTTTAACGCATCCTCTTTTGTCTGACCGTGTTTTAGACATAGTTAAGTTTCCTTTAATTCCCTTTCCCATGAATCTGACACAATTCCCTTAGCTTTGGAATAACTCATGCTCAAATATCATTCAGGGTTTCAGTCAGTACGATTAAGACGTATGGTTCTGCATTCAATTTTCTAATCCCTAATCTGACCCAAGATGCCCTTTTCCTTAGGTTACTCAAAGGGCTATCAGTCTGCCGGCCTTTTACTCTGAGATACACTTCCACTTGGGATGTGGACCTTTTATTAAACTACCTTATTGACTTAAGATGGACGGCGACCAGATTGACTTAAGATGAACGACCAGATTGACTTAAGATGGACGGCGATTAAATTGGCACCCCTTCTAGCTTTAGCTCTGGCAGCTAGAGGCTCAGAATTAAAGCAGCTAAATATTGTCGAACCATGGTTGTCTCGAACTCCTGGGGGATTTCATGTCATCCTTAAAGGGAGACAGAAGACTTCCTATATTTTCCCGGGCTCTGTCAAACTAGATTTGGTGAAGGATTCTGCTGAGCTGAGTTTATGCTTAGTTAATTTGTTAAATTCATACTTGAATCTTTCTGCCCCAGTCAGACAAGACTTTACGCAATTACTTATCACCTCCAGAAAACCTTTTCGGCTAGCTAAGGTTTACACAATCAGGGGTGAGATACTGTCCGCTATGTCTGCAGAGGGTATTGATGTCACGGTTTTTAAGGGTCATTCTATCAGAGGGGCCTCAGCTTCAAAAGCAGCAGTGAGAGGCCTTCCTCTTCCTATTATCCTTAAAGCTGCAAGATGGTCTTCCAGTAAGACTTTCGTTAAGTTTTACTGGAGGCCAACTGACGTGAAACGTTTACAGTTCCTTAGGACCACCACCAGCTTTGCTAGGTGGTTATGCCTCCCGGAGGGACAAACTAGAGTTTGCAGGTATCGATGACTTGCAAACTTTCTTTGTCATAGGGATAAGCATAACCACCTAGAAAAGAGCCCATCCGTCCCTCCCCAGGTTTATTTCTATTGCCTGGTGGTGGCAGGGTATTTCTCTGGCTTGGGAATCTTCTAATTAAAGTAATTTTGTGTGTTTGTTTTCTTTTTCACTTATATTTATTTATATTTATTCTGTTTATCTTTACAGATTACAACCGGCTACCCAGACAGGATCACCAAGCCAAGGACCCTCCTAAATAGTTATGGAGGTTAAGAAACTTCTTCCAGAAGCTCTTTGATTATGAGTTATACTATACTAATATTTCTCTCAGAGACTGTTTTGTTTTTCACCTTCATTTTCATAAGTTACTATTAACTGTCAGTATTTCAGAAATGTTTCTTATTTATTGTTACTTTATTATATTGCCTTTCCACTCTGTTGACTTAGGAGTAAGTTCCTTTTTGGTTAAGTAAATAAATCATTGTTACCCCCCTTACATTGTCAGTGGTGCTCTTTTCCTTTATTATGTTTAGTACCATGTACATTGATATCTATCCTACATTAGGGGGTTTCTTTGTCTCTGGATGAGTTAACCATCTGCAGTATCCCGATTTTAAAATCTGAGGTGATCAGGGCTGCCGCTAGCTACACGGCTGTCCTGATCACCTGATTGGCTAAAACGCTGTTGCTGTGCAGGAGCACAGCATGAGCATTTTTAGCGCGGCAAAATATTTCTCCGGGAGGCTGCCACATAACCACTAGCTTTGCTAGGTTGTTATGCTTATCACTAGGACAAAGAAAGTTTGCAGGTCATCGATTCCTGCAAACTCTAGTAGCCTTTCCCCTCCCAGTAACTAGACGACACATAGTTCTGGGAGTACAACTGATTTTAATGAGCCAAACTCAGCCTTTTATGCCCAGACCACAGCAGGTGGTCTTCAAACAATACAACATAAGCCCCTCCCAGGAATCTCTGGGCCTAGGAGATAATTGAGTTTGTGAAAGATTTCATGTACTTACGGGTATGCCTTCAATTGTACCTTCTCCCTGCTGTTCAAATACTTGTAATAGGTTGTTAAGTATGTGTTGAATAATTGTATTCGTCTACCGAACGAGAGACCACCTACCCTGGGTAGCAAGCAGCATTAGAACGGGGAGAAAACCGCAACTTAATTGCTCCTGGGTGGCCGCCATTTGGCATACGAACACGTGGCAAGAACAAAGGATGGCGGCCATCTTAAAACTCACGAACGCGGTCAGCGGGGCATACGCATGAATTGCCTGGAACTATTTTCGGCAAGGCAAACATGTGAACGCCCTTTCTTCATGGAAGTCCTGGATGTATACGTTCCCCTCCACGAATCAAACTGGCATTCGGTAGATAGAATCTACCGAACGAGGGGAACATTCGTATGTAACCAGCTATACCATACGAACGGTGGTTTTCGTGTAGTTGGACGCGAACAGAGACCGGCTCTTGCTACTGACTTTATGGAACTCTAGCTCGGATACCCTACATGGCGAGCCGGTCAAAACTTATACACGATGCGACAAGGAAACTACCGAACGGAAATTCGTGAGATTTGGATATGTGACTACCTGTATCCTCAGCTACCCAGGGATGTTAAAATTATAGTTGTATGTGTTATGGAAAGTACTTTTCTGAAAATTGTTAAAATGTATAATATTTCTGGCCAGCAGATAATTGAGCTTTGTGCATTGTTAAAACTCAATTATCTAGCCTGGCCCAGAGGAGGAGTTTTGTACCACATAAATTGTGTGTCCTGTGTGCCAGTAAAGTCAGTCTTGTTTCAGCATTAAGCCTTGGCTCATGTGTGGATTATTCGGCGATTCCAGTGATATTTCTACTTGTGGAGTATTGGGTGATTTTCTTTTATGGGAAGAAGGGAATGCTTGACGGTGATACCATATACTACCGTCACAGAGTTAAAGACTGGTAAGCTAATTATCTCCTAGGAACAGAGAGCCTAACACAAAACATAACATATTAAATTATCCCAAAACTTCATAAAAACATAACCTCACATGTCCTACATCCCCAAATAGCCCTGATCTGAGCTCCCAAGTTGTTCAAATAGTGCTCAGATCAATGCAGTACAGTACAATGGAAATGCCACCGTGTCAAGTTTTGACCGGCCGCAAACGTGGTCCTATGCCCAAAATTGTTTCAGGGCGTTTGGTGCTTTGGTCGGTCAACTTTCAGAAGCTCCTGAGGTCACAATATGGGGTGCTCTGTCTGGCTCTCAGGTAGTGTGTGTTTCTCTTAGTCTCGGGCACCTTCTCTCCAAAAAGCGCTGGCTGGTTTCAAAGTAGTTCAAAACTTTTCCGGGAACAGCAAGGTCACCTCATGCCGAAAACAGTTCTATAACATTTGCAGTAAGGTACAGCTGAGGTGACTGGGAACCACAAAGTCCTCATGCCGAAAATAGTTCCATAGCGGTCATGACTAAGTACCGCTGAGGACCAATAGTGGGATTGATTCACGTGAACTGCTGCCAGTGAGCTAGCGTTCGTTTCCATTCAAATGAAGGGAAAGTGCCGTACCAGAAGCACCCAGGAAGAGCTGCTAATGGCGGCTGGGAAGGGTAACTCCCGAACGGTGTCTCCAACCTGGACCATAGTCAGTGGGAGGAAGGCCAGCTTCCACACTTCTCCAAGAGTTTGTGGCAAACGTTTGTGGGAAGGAGAATTTGTCACAGTGGTATAACTAAAACCAGCTTGCAAAAGCTGCGCATCTCTTATGTGAAGCCATTGTAAGTCCTCATCTTCTAACCAAACCCATACCTTTCTATGGCTGTCTTTGCAAGGCAGGTGCTCTGATCAATTGCTTCTTGAGTTTAGCTCCTCTGAGCTAAACCACCAGGAAATAAAGAAACCTGCTGTCTGATTTACAGCTAGGGGGTGTAAAAAGGTTAATTTATAGAAGTGCTATTGAAAGCAAGCTGAAGTGCTTTAAGGGTCTATCTTTGCATGGATAATATAGTCCATCAATCTCTCATCTCTCATGTAAGCCTTTCCGAAGGGATGTTAATTCAATATGTAAACTTGCTATTCTGGGCTTTCCCTTGCCTGTATAGTAATCTCTTAATATTCAAAGTGCTCTTTCCATTGGTTATCGGTTGCCTCCCTCATTGTTAAAGACAGACCCCCGGTGTGGCTGCACCGGGCCTGCAGATTATGGGGCTCACTGGGTGACCCATGCACTTAGGTCCACCTGGTGGACATGTGTCAGCATGGGCCCAGTCGGGTGCTGTGGCCTTTAAACAATGCTACCTGACCATTTTTCTAATAGCAGCATGAGAGAAAGTGTGATACATACCAACTGCAATACTGTCTACATCTACACACTGGGGAACATTTCACTTTTAAGATGTCCTGCCAAAGATTACAGTCTAATCTGGCTCTGGAGTATGTGAGTACCTCTACTTTGCCATTTTGGTCATATACCTGTTTTAAAAGCATACTGCACTATATGGTTTTCATCTATTTGTATTTTGAGGAATACAACATTTGTAGACAAAAGAGGGAAGGAGTCTCCTGCTAAAGGCTCCAGAGTGATTAAATAGAGCCATGATTTGGGACTCTATGTTATGTCAGTGATTACCCACAACGTTTTCTTTTTTTATAATTCTATTGTATATATGTCTGATATGGGCTGCATTTTTATATACCAATTTAGTCTTTGAGGTCTGATTTAGTGTGGGAACCTATTTGCTGCTAAATATAAATATTAGCACTTTAGAACTTTTATATCACGTATGAAATGAAATGGAAATATTTTAGCAATTTAGCAATTTACATAAGGTTAATGTAATTTGAGCTCCAAAATTGGTAAAGTTGATGTAATTTGCACTCTGTTAG